CGTAGTGACCATAGTTTGGGGGACGTAGTGACCATAGTTTGGGGGACGTAGTGACCATAGTTTGGGGACGTAGTGACCATAGTTTGGGGGACGTAGTGACCATAGTTTGGGGGACGTATGCTATGTAGACCATAGTTTGGGGGACGTAGTGACCATAGTTTGGGGGACGTAGTGACCATAGTTTGGGGGACGTAGTGACCATAGTTTGGGGACGTAGTGACCATAGTTTGGGGGACGTAGTGACCATAGTTTGGGGGACGTAGTGACCATAGTTTGGGGGACGTAGTGACCATAGTTTGGGGGACGTAGTGACCATAGTTTGGGGGACGTAGTGACCATAGTTTGGGGGACGTAGTGACCATAGTTTGGGGGACGTAGTGACCATAGTTTGGGGACGTAGTGACCATAGTTTGGGGGACGTAGTGACCATAGTTTGGGGGACGTAGTGACCATAGTTTGGGGACGTAGTGACCATAGTTTGGGGGACGTAGTGACCATAGTTTGGGGGACGTAGTGACCATAGTTTGGGGGACGTAGTAGTGACCATAGTTTGGGGGACGTAGTGACCATAGTTTGGGGGACGTAGTGACCATAGTTTGGGGACGTAGTGACCATAGTTTGGGGGACGTAGTGACCATAGTTTGGGGGACGTAGTGACCATAGTTTGGGGGACGTAGTGACCATAGTTTGGGGGACGTAGTGACCATAGTTTGGGGGACGTAGTGACCATAGTTTGGGAGACGTAGTGACCATAGTTTGGGGACGTAGTGACCATAGTTTGGGGGACGTAGTGACCATAGTTTGGGGGACGTAGTGACCATAGTTTGGGGACGTAGTGACCATAGTTTGGGGGACGTAGTGACCATAGTTTGGGGGACGTAGTGACCATAGTTTGGGGACGTAGTGACATAGTTGGGACGTAGTGACCATAGTTTGGGGACGTAGTGACCATAGTTTGGGGACGTAGTGACCTGTTTGGACGTAGTGACCATAGTTTGGGAGACAGGTGACCATAGTTTGGGAACGTAGTGACATAGTTTGGGAGACGTAGTGACCTAGTTTGGGGGACGTAGTGACCAAGTTGGGAGACGTAGTGACCATAGTTGGGGGACGTAGTGCCATAGTTTGGGAGAGTGTGACATGTTTGGACTAGCTATTGGCACTGCTGCATAGTTGTGCGCGTGTACCAGGGGAGGGCCATAGTGTCGGTGTCTTTAGCCGATGGCCATGCTGACTCAATAGTTATTATTGAAATAGCATTTCTAATTAGAAAATGCTGTACTTCCGTCCTCTATAAAAAATATATTTAAAAAAAAATAAGCCATTTAGCAGACGCTTTTATCCAAAGCGACTTACAGTCATGCGTGCATACATTTTTTGTGTATGGGTGGTCCCGGGGATCGAACCCACTACCTTGGCGTTACAAGCGCCGTGCTCTACCAGCTGAGCTACAGAGGACATATGGTGACAACGACCGTTGCCCTATTGGCAGACTAACAGACACCGACAGGCGGGGGAATGCAGGGGGCAGTTCATGACGGTACATGTGCCAATTAAAATCGTATTTTTCCAAGAGTATTTGTTCCTCAGCCGTTGTAAATTACATTTTCCTATCAAGTCTTATTGATGTCATTCTTCATTCTTCTCAGTGAGATCCTCAGTGCAACCAGTCAGTTCACGCCAGACCTGTTCACATATCAGGGGCTAGGGCCAGAGTGGTGTGTCCTCTTTATTTCTTAACATTTAATGCTGATTTCTGTTGTCTGGCTGAGTTATGAAGAGTCTGTGAAATTTTGTACAAAGTGATGTACTTGACATAATACTTTATATTTCTGTGAATAAAACATGTGAGCAAACTGTTACAATGGCCCTGTCATGTCTTCTGTTTCTAAGCAACCCACAGGACACTTGATCTAGCGCCAACCCTGATCACAACACAACATATTGAATTGAACACTGCTCAGTAATAAGTCCATGAGAAAAGTATTTGCTTTTACTGATGGAGAACAGAGCCCTCTAGTGGACGAAAGGCTGTGCTTGTTGACTGGTCTCCTAGGTAGACGGGTTGCCCCTTCACATTAACAATGTTCCAGCATACACTAGTCTGGGCTTTCAGCACAGGAGGTTGATGGCACCTTAACTGGGGAGAACGGGGTCGTGGTAATGGTGGCACCTTAACTGGGGAGAACGGGGTCGTGGTAATGGTGACACCTTAACTGGGGAGAACGGGGTCGTGGTAATGGCTGGCACCTTAACTGGGGAGAACGGGGTCGTGGTAATGGCTGGAGCAGGAATTAGTGAAATTCTATCAAATACATCAAACACACTGCTCTGTGCATTTAATATGCGTGTGAAGGAAGCATAATTTAGCAGCAGCTCTGAACAGGAACTAAACAGCAGCCGCCACAGTTTAACAGCAACCATGGCAGTCATTGGCCGTGTTTGAGAACATCAAAACCGCATGCATCATGGGTATATTGTGACTGATCTACAAATAATATTGAGTAGTTATTTAAGACGCAAGGTGATTTGTAGATCAGGCAGTCTCGACTTTAAAATTGTCTGCAATTTGGAACATGCCCATTATAAACTCTGACTGAACCCATAGAAGCAGTTATGAAGTCATCATCCGAGACCTCTAAAAGCAACCACAATTCAATCCAGTTATGTCATGATAATGGACTATATTATTATAATCCAGTTGTGTCGTGATAATTGACTATATTATTATAATCCAGTTGTGTCATGATAATTTACTATATTATTATAATCTTGTTGTTCTTGTATATAAAGTAACTGTTCTGTACTCCGTCATGTATTTTATGAAACACTTCAAGCAACCACCTGTCTAAAAACAGAACCTCAACAGGCCAGCAGGGACAGGTTGGTTTATTTCTATTTCAGGACCTGGTGATACTGAAGAAGATGACCCCTGACCCCTCCCATGGCCAACAGCACCCCTACAGTCAGGACCTGGTGAAACTGAAGAAGATGACCCCTGACTCCTCCCATGGCCAACAGCACCCCTACAGTCAGGACCTGGTAATAGTGAAGAAGATGACCCCTCCCATGGCCAACAGCACCCCTACAGTCAGGACCTGGTGATAGTGAAGAAGATGACTCCTCCCATGGCCAACAGCACCCCTACAGTCAGGACCTGGTGATACTGAAGAAGATGACTCCTCCCCATGGCCAACAGCACCCCTACAGTCAGGACCTGGTGATACTGAAGAAGATGACTCCTCCCATGGCCAACAGCACCCCTACAGTCAGGACCTGGTGATACTGAAGAAGATGACTCCTCCCATGGCCAACAGCACCCCTACAGTCATCTCCAACATCTTCCCCAGCTTCCACTGCTTATAATCCTGCTGCTGTTTCCGCTGGTAATGGGCCTTTCTGGCCCTCAGCTCCTTCTCCCTCATCAGCTGCTCTCCATAGTGAGCCTGGAAGAAGGCATCAAAGTCAAACATGGCCTTCCCTCCAACGTTGGAGAACCGCCGGGACCTCTGCTGTTGTTGATACTGCTGTGGGCCAGAGGCTCTGGTGCTGGAGGTGGACTCCCGTTCCGAGGGTCTCCCGGCCGCCTGGATGTCTGACCCACTGAGGATGCCGCGGTCGTACTTCCTCCTCAGGGCCATGCTCCCCAGCACGCTATAGGCCTCGCTGATCTCAGAGAAACGCTGGGTGGCCTCCTCGTTGTCGGGGTTCTTGTCTGGGTGGTAGATGAACGACTGCTTGTAGTAGGCTGTCTTTATTTGGGATTGGGTGGCGCTCGGGGACACTTGGAGGATGTCATAGTAGGCTGTTCTGCTCCTGTGAAGAGGCGGGATGTCTGACTTGTTGTTTTTGTTGTAAGCCCGGGTGGAGTGCAGGAGATTTGGGTGAGGTCTAAACCAGCCTGACTGCTGCTCTGCCAGGTTGAGCATGACCGTGCTGAATGCTCTGAGCTGCTGAGGTGACCCAAAGGTTTCAGGGTGAAAGCTGGCCATGACATCGCCTCTGCTATTCCAACACATCATCCTGTGCACTGTTACTAGGTTACCCTGGGACAGAGGCTGTACACTGGGCCACAGGTACAAAGGTGACTGTCTGAGCTCACTATCCTGAACAGTTGCTAATTTGATAGCGGGTTTAGCCTCAATGTCTAATAAAAACAAATCACAACTTGACCAAACTTGAGGTAATGTCCCATACCCCAGCCTGTTCTCATGTTTTAGGCTAGAAAGTATTTGATCAATGTGCTCTACCTCCGTGCATTCCTGGGCCTTCTCTTTTAGGTTTTTACTTTCAGGTTCCCAGGAACTTGCCTGACTGTCCCTTGTTGACACCGGCTGACATTCGTAAATCCCTTGGCCGGTTACCTTGGCTTTACAGGTTCTGGCTCCAAGTATAGAGGTTGCTGCTACTACTGACATCGTTCCGTGTCGTTGACCTTCGGCGCTGGGGAGGGCGTGAGTCGGTGCGTTTCTGATAGTTGAAAATCTGTACACTCCGCTCCCCAACCTCCGACTGACCTCCGCCATTCTCCCGTAGCAGCAGGTACAGCAGCCATTGACAAATAACAGAAGCGAAGAAGACAGAGGTGGGATCCGGTTAAATGTATAGCAGACCAATGAGAGAAGATGTAAATGGGATGTGGTCACAAAAACGTATTCTGTCATCCAATCATATACGAGGAATTGAGGCTTGAACGTTATCAAATATCGCCTCTTCCTCTCTGATGTTATGTAAAGAATTTGCGATAGTCTTGTGCAACTGAATTTTTCCTATGCTTTAAAATTGTGTTTAGATATGAATTTAATTCAATAGGTCGTTTTGGTTGCTGAAATAATTTCTGATAGTATTTTTTATTTTCAACTGTGCGCCTTTCATGTCGCAGAAATTCTACGTCACACTTACATGTGGAGCCTCAGCTGTAGCCAGACATCATAACAACTTTTAAGCTGTTTGGTTTAAATCGATCATTCTTTGATATTTTGTAGCAAACAAAATTAAACATGTCCTCAAGTTGTCGAAGACCCGAGCATATGGCCCCGCCTGAAATGGTTAGTATGATATTTTCCTCTTAAAAAAAAAAAAGACAGACAATGAGAGCTAGCTAACCTTAGCTAGCTGCCTGGTTAACCGTTAACTGTAAGAAAACTAACGTTTGCTAAGTTAGTTAGTGATCTGCTCCCAAATACATACCTACCAAGTGACTGGTTATCTGTCAAGTTCATTATGTGAACTACATTTCCCCGACACATCTTGTCTTTACCTGCACACTGCACTTAACTTCTTGTGTTTTGATTTCTACTCATTCTGCAGTTCTACAACGAAGAGGAGGCCAAGAAATATTCTCAGAAGTGAGTCCTGAGTTTGACAATGACCTCTTATGGGCTGCGCAATATGAATCACTGTGTTTGAATACAAATCGTTTCATTTACATAATGACAAGAGGCTGTCCTTGATGGAATATGTTTGAGACATAGTATAATGTAATTTTACATTTACATTTAAGTCATTTAGCAGACGCTCTTATCCAGAGCGACTTACAGTTAGTGAGTGCATACATTTTTCATACTGGCCCCCCCGTGGGAATCGAACCCACAACCCTGGCGTTGCAAGCGCCATGTTCTACCAACTGAGCTACAGGAGGTAGTAATATGATTGAAGGTAGCTAAGTAATCAACAGTTCAATAATTTACCAATTGATTTCCAGTTCTCGGATGATTGAGATCCAGAGCCAGATGTCCGAGAGAGCTGTGGAGCTGCTGAACCTGCCCGAGGACCAGTCCTGTTTCCTGCTAGATGTGGGGTATGTGTACCAGGGACGTCTGAGGGCTCTCATCTATGTAATAGGTCTGGGTAGGAGAACAAAACAACATCAAAGCTACTTCAGACTGAGTGTGTATATAACTTCGCCCCATCCAGGTGTGGCTCGGGGCTAAGTGGGGACTACCTGTCAGAGGAGGGACATTGCTGGGTTGGAGTGGACATCAGCACAGCCATGTTGGGTGAGTGTGGTTGGAGTGGACATCAGCACAGCCGTGTTGGGTGAGTGTGATGAGTGGACATCAGCACAGCCGTGTTGGGTGAGTGTGGTTGGAGTGGACATCAGCACAGCCGTGTTGGGTGAGTGTGGTTGAGTGGACATCAGCACAGCCGTGTTGGGTGAGTGTGGTTGGAGTGGACATCAGCACAGCCGTGTTGGGTGAGTGTGGTTGAGTGGACATCAGCACAGCCGTGTTGGGTGAGTGTGGTTGGAGTGGACATCAGCACAGCCATGTTGGGTGAGTGTGGTTGGAGTGGACATCAGCACAGCCATGTTGGGTGAGTGTGGTTGGAGTGGACATCAGCACAGCCATGTTGGGTGAGTGTGGTTGGAGTGGACATCAGCACAGCCATGTTGGGTGAGTGTGGTTGAGTGGACATCAGCACAGCCGTGTTGGGTGAGTGTGGTTGAGTGGACATCAGCACAGCCATGTTGGGTGAGTGTGGTTGAGTGGACATCAGAACAGCCATGTTGGGTGAGTGTGGTTGGTGTCATTCCTGATGCAAAAATATTGCATTCATATTTAGAGATGGATCAGCCATCCTAATCCATGGATCAGCAACCTGAAAAATACCAGTCAATATTTATTTGTTGTGATCCGCTGTTGACCAGTGCTGTGTCCTCTCTAGATGTAGCGCTGGATCGGGAGGTCGAGGGAGACGTTGTGTTGGGGGATATGGGTGAGGGGATGCCCTTCAGGCCTGGGACCTTTGATGGCTGCATCAGGTAAATACCTTGTCCTCCCTGTCCTGTAAGTGATACCTGAGTTCTCTACTGACAAATTAGTATTGATGGACTTGTCAAGACTGAGTTAGTAATGTATCTCTCCTTCTCTTTCAACCTATCACCTGTCTGTGTCCTCCCCTACCTCTCTTTGTCTCATCCCTCAGTATTTCTGCTCTCCAATGGCTCTGCAATGCTGACAAAAAGACCCACAGCCCCCCCAAGAGGCTCTACACCTTCTTCAGTACGCTCTACTCCTCCCTGGTGAGATCCCTAGGGACCTCAGTCCAATCTAACTACTACTACTCCTCCCTGGTGAGATCCCTAGGGACCTCAGTCCAATCTAACTACTACTACTCCCTGGTGAGATCCCTAGGGACCTCAGTCCAATCTAACTACTACTCCCTAGGGACCTCAGTCCAATCTAACCCCTACTATGTTATTGTCCCATATCTTTTTTAGTCAAGAGGAGCCCGTGCAGTGTTTCAGCTTTACCCAGAGAACTCTGAGCAGGTACAGTGATATTACAAATTGTTTATTAAAGTTTGTCTGCACAGAAACATGCCGACACACTCGGTGACACCTGATTGCCACTCCTGATCTGACCAAGTAGTTGCTCCGCCTTCCTTCTATTTATTTATATTTATGCTAAATGTTATTCTATTTTATTACACCTTTACTACTTCTGTTTACTGTAGTTATTATTGAGAGGTGAACCTGCCAGTCAGCGTTTCAGTGTACTGTGTATCCTGTGTAAATGAATAATAGACTTGACTGTGTGTAGCTGGAGCTGATTACGTCCCAGGCCATGAAGGCAGGCTTCAGTGGAGGCATGGTAGTGGACTATCCCAACAGCACCAAGGCCAAAAAGTGAGTCGTCGTCCGTCCCCCCGCCCCCAAGCGGCCCAACCTGGATTTGTAGCCACCATAGAAATATAACCTATAGAACGGGCCTCTCCATTTTAAGTCAATGATGGCATAATGATAGATTATATTTCTATGGTAATCACTTGGAGGTCATACTAGAAAAACACACACACAAAAACATGTATTTCTGGCACGAACTCTCACAATTGTCTTCCTACCGTCACCGACTGCTGGGAACTACTTTATTGAGGAACGGTTTTACTTACTATGATATGTGGTTGTCCCACCTAGCTACCTTAAGATGAATGCACTAACTGTAAGTCGCTCTGGAAAAGAGTGTCTGCTAAATGACCAAAACTGACATCCTTCTCTGATTTCCCCATCAGGTTCTTCCTGTGTCTGTTCGCTGGGTTTTCAGGAACCCTACCCAAGGTGAGGAAGAGAGTAGGAGTTCATTTGGAGACTTGTCTTGAATGCTGATGGTTTGTGGTCCCTGTGTTTCAGGGGCTGGGGTCAGAGACAGTGGACAGGGGTGTCCCAAATCAAGTCCAGTTCACAGGACAGAGGTAAAGAAATAACATCCTCAACTTTAGAAATGTTCTAATTATTAATTACCACCATTATGTTAATGGTAAGACTTAATCAAAGTATTAGCATAGTTGGGTAGATCTTCTCATCAGGTCAGTGCAGGCTCATATTTTCGGTGGCTCGACTGGGTAAGACACTTAAGCGGGGGTGGTCCTGTGTGTTTGCGAGACAGAGGTCCTGGGTTGGCGCCTTGGTATGAGCCAAATCAGGAGGAAGTGGTACTGGCTTAGCAAGCAGCGTGACGTCCTTTACAATGACACTGATCACATCTACTGTCACAGGACATAGAGCAGATCAAAGATGAAATATGTATTTGGTAAAAAATAATTACAGATTGATTAGAGCTGAGTGTCTCAATCCCTTCCTGTGTCTGCTGGTGATGATTTCCTGTTTGTCTTGGTGAAGATCTCGCTTTAAGAACATGAAGGGCAAGTCTGCAAAGAAGGGAAAAGACTGGATCCTGGAGAAGAAGGAGAGGAGGAGAAGACAGGGCAGGTATGTACCCCTCTGACTACACTGTCTCATTGGGCAGTGATCCTGATCCAGTCTACGGTCTCATTGGGCAGTGATCCTGATCCAGTCTACTGTCTCATTGGGCAGTGATCCTGATCCAGTCTGTCTCATTGGGCAGTGATCTTGATCCTGTACAGGTCAACCATTTGTACCATGCATATAGCTTCCAACCCCATTTGGACGAAGCCGTTAGGCTCTGTAACAGAAAGGCTTGTCTCTTACCGTCTTCCCTCTGTGGTGTGGTTTGTCTCTCAGGGAGGTCCGAGCTGACACAAAGTACACTGCCCGGCAGAGAAGGCCTCACTTCTAAACCCCAGTCAGTCCTGCGTGTTCCGGCCTGGAGATTCACCCTCGTGGAGTATGCTGTCCCGTGTGACCAGAGGAGCTGTGACCGGCAAGATTTAGACTCACACCTCAATGGACTCAAATCAAGTCGTACTCGCTTAGAAACGGGCGGATTAAAATAAAATAAAATCCATTTAGAAATGGACTGTTGTTTTCTTCCAGGAGTTGTCGATCAATGGAATGGAAATTAATTCATATAAATGTATTTATGCGATTCCCACCCCTGTTGGTGACTGCCACTTGAAGTTATGTTCATAGAGTGGTTACCTAGACTGGTTGCTAGTCTTTGTTTAGCTATAACATTCCTAGAGAGGGGCCAGTTTCTGTACTTTCCACTCCTTGTGGTGTCATGTGCCACAGGAGCACAAGGAGTGGAAAGTTATAGCTAAACAGAGAATGGACACCAGTCTAGTGCTTATCTGGTTGTGGTCCCAATCCTCTGGACAGAAACTGGCCCCTCTCTAGGACATGGTCCCAATCCTCTGGACAGAAACTGGCCCCTCTCTAGGACATGGTCTGATAGACAACAACAAATGGACAGCAAATAAAATAAATGGCCCTCTCTGATCTTGGATCCATTTCTTCTGGACTATATAATTCCCCCTCAAGCAGCATATTATTTTTTAAAGCTGTAATATGTAACTTTTTGGGCAACTAACCAAATTCACATAGAAATGTGAGTTATAGATCTGTCATTCTCATTGAAAGCAAGTCTAAGAAGCAGATCTGTTCTGTGTGCGTTATTTCTATACTTCCCGTTCTTAAGTTTTATTTTTGCGTCTTTTACTTTTGGTTTTGTAAACCAGCTTCAAACAGCTGAAAATACAATATTTTTGGTTATGGAAAATATATTTCACAGCGGTTTAGATGGTACAATGATTTTCTACACTATACTTGCTTGTTTTGTCACATAAACTGAAATTAGGCAAACTATTAGAATTTTAGCAACCAGGAAATGGCGGAGCGATTTCTGCGTAGTGCACCTTTTTAAATGTTTGATGTAGACAAAGCGTGAATTAAAAATGTTATCTCTGACATTACTTAATTTTCTTTCTCATTCATCCCAGTGAATATTCATGATGTTTAGAGGCCAATAGTCCTCCCAGTGGACCGAGTTTGGGAAACCCTGCTCCAGGCTACCTAACCGATCCCATAGTTATAATTGAATATTGCCCATTCCTTGGTCTCGCCTTTGGTCGTTTAGGCCTACTTGATTCGAATAAGATGTTGCATCAGAATGCATTTTGATATGGTGATATAATCTGATGCAATAAACACTGGGGTTCATGGGTTAAAAACAGGTGGCCTTGCCTTTCTTCTGTGGGTGTCATGGCGGACTACAACCCAAAAAGGTGTATTGCCGCCGCCAACTGTGCAAGATTGAAAAAACAAGGTAAAAAGAAAATCCATACTTGATAGGGGAAAACTAACTTAATCCGCCCAAATAAAAATAGTACATTGACAAAACCAAAACTCCCACTTCTTCCTTCCTTCCTATTTCCATATCTCTAGGGCCTGAGAGGGTGGTAAGGCTTGTGACAATACTCCATGCAACTCCTCTGCCAATAAATCTTTCAGTCCCAGGAACCGCTTCGCCACATCCACAATGATATCTATTTTCCTGGACCTTCTCTCCACCTTGGCAGTGCCATTAATCACCATAGCTATAAAGGCCACAAAGTCCACCTTCTTAACCTTTAAAATATCACGGTCGTGCTGGTGAAAGGCCTATCCACCACCATGGACTCTTCAGGAGCTCCATTCGAACCCTCAACCCTTTTTAAACAGCTGCTGCATATGAAATGCTCAGGACAGGCCTGACTTTGGCCACCTCGTTCTCTTTCACCCTTGGTGGGGCATTCAACAGACGTGGCTTCATGGTTCCCACCACAATTGCAACATGTCACATTTTAGTCACTTTTATAACACATGATGTGATATTTTCCACAACTTGGACATCTCGGCTTCTCCCTTCTGCAAACACTTGAAACATGTCCAAAATATTTAAAAAAGTGATCACACTGCATTGGTCTTGGGATAAATACTCTGACTCTGTAGTTAATATACCCCAACTGCACTTGAGTAGGAAGAGACTCAAGAACTAAAGAACAGATAGTCCTAACTTTTTCATAATTCAGCACACGATTCATCCGAAGTGCATCAATCACTCCAGGAATATGTTTCATCTCTTCAACAGCGACTTTGCGGGCTCTGCAGGATTTCAGTCCTTCACGGCGTAGTGTGTTACCAATTGTTTTCTTGGTAATTATGGTACCAGCTGCCTTGAGATCATTGACAAGATCCTCCCGTGTAGTTCTGGGCTGATTCCTCACCGTTCTCATGATCATTGCAACTCCACGAGGTGAGATCTTGCAGGGAGCCCCAGGCCGAGGGAGATTGACAGTTATTTTGTGTTTCTTCCATTTGCGAATAATCGCACCAACTGTTGTCACCTTCTCACCAAGCTGCTTGGCGATGGTCTTGTAGCCCATTCCAGCCTTGTGTAGGTCTACAATCTTGTCCCTGACATCCTTGGAGAGCTCTTTGGTCTTGGCCATGGTAGAGAGTTTGGAATCTGATTGCTTCTGTGGACAGGTGTCTTTTATACAGGTAATAAGATGAGATTAGGAGCACTCCCAAGCCAGAGCCAAAAATACATTTGTATGTACATGAATTTGACTGTGAAATTGTGCTGCCACAATAAACAGAATATACAGATGATAAGCAGAATATACAGACACGAAATATATAGATCCAGAATTTCCACAGATCCCCGTACAGTATGAACACTGTAAGCGGCAGGTAGCCTAGTGGTTAAGAGCTTTGGGCCAGTAACCGAAAGGTCGCTGGTTCGAATCCCCGAGCCCACTGTGAAAAATCTTTCTGTGCCCTTGAGCGAGGCACTTTACCCTAATTGCTACTGTAAGTCGCTCTGGATAAGAGCGTCTGCTAAATGACTAAAATGAAAACAAATAAGCTGCATATAGATGTGCAAATGTGCAGTTCTGGGATGACAGTGCAGGGTGCAAAGTCTGTGGACGAATAGTTCAAAGTCCATGGATGAGAGGATCACCGTTGGTGAGGGTCATGGCACCGGGGGGGTAGAAACTATTCATGTGGCAGGAGGTTTTGGTAGTGATTGGCCAGAGGGGGAGTCTTTGGAAGAGGGGATGGAAGGGGATGATCTTTCCTGCACGCTGCCTTGCCTTGCAGAACCTCGATGGATATCATCGGGTGGCATCCTCTCAGAAGACCGGACAGTCTGTTGCAGTGATGGAGGAGGTGAGGATGGAAGGTCGATGATGGTCATTTAGAACTGAATCAGCACACACAGCATTCAAAGGAGGACTTGAGGACAAAACAACGCCATGCATTCACTAAACATTACACTGAGGACAACAAAACACCATGCATTCACTAAACAGATTTTTTGTTGTTGTAATTGTCTGATTGGGAACTACCATCGTCTATCAATTACTGAATGCAAAGGTGTTAATATTTGGCTTTGGAAGTTTTATTGAATAGAGTCAGTAATATAGGAGTCAAATCGCATAAGGAGTCTCATCAGATCAGGTGTTATCAGAAAGCCAGAGCATCTGTGTAAATAGGAGTCTCATCAGATCAGATGTTATCATAAAGCCGGAGCCATCTGTGTAAAGAGGAGTCTCAACAGATCAGATGTTATCATTAAGCCGGAGCCATCTGTGGAAAGAGGAGTCTCATCAGATCAGATGTTAGCATCAAGCCAGAGCCATCTGTGTAAAGAGGAGTCTCAACAGATCAGATGTTATCATAAAGCTGGAGCCATCTGTGGAAAGAGGAGTCTCATCAGATCAGATGTTATCATCAAGCCAGAGCCATCTGTGGAAAAAGGAGTCTCATCAGATCAGATGTTATCATCAAGCCAGAGCCATCTGTGTAAAGAGGAGTCTCATCAGATCAGATGTTGTCAGCAAGCCAGAGCCATCTGTGGAAAGAGGAGTCTCATCAGATCAGATGTTATCATCAAGCCAGAGCCATCTGTGGAAAGATGAGTCTCATCAGATCAGATGTTATCATCAAGCCAGAGCCATCTGTGGAAAGAGGAGTCTCATCAGATCAGATGTTATCATCAAGCCAGAGCCATCTGTGGAAAGAGGAGTCTCATCAGATCAGATGTTATCATCAAGCCAGAGCCATCTGTGGAAAAAGGAGTCTCATCAGATCAGATGTTATCATCAAGCCAGAGCCATCTGTGTAAAGAGGAGTCTCATCAGATCAGATGTTATCAGCAAGCCAGAGCCATCTGTGGAAAGAGGAGTCTCATCAGATCAGATGTTATCATCAAGCCAGAGCCATCTGTGGAAAGAGGAGTCTCATCAGATCAGATGTTATCATCAAGCCAGAGCCATCTGTGGAAAGAGGAGTCTCATCAGATCAGATGTTATCATCAAGCCAGAGCCATCTGTGGAAAAAGGAGTCTCATCAGATCAGATGTTATCATCAAGCCAGAGCCATCTGTGGAAAGAAGAGTCTCATCAGATCAGATGTTGTCAGCAAGCCAGAGCCATCTGTGGAAAGAGGAGTCTCATCAGATCAGATGTTATCATCAAGCCAGAGCCATCTGTGGAAAGAGGAGTCTCATCAGATCAGATGTTATCATCAAGCCAGAGCCATCTGGAAGAGGATCCATCTGTGTAAAGCCAGAGCCAGTAAGTCTCATCAGATCAGATGTTGTCAGCAAGCCAGAGCCATCTGTGGAAAGAGGAGTCTCATCAGATCAGATGTTATCATCAAGCCAGAGCCATCTGTGGAAAGAGGAGTCTCATCAGATCAGATGTTATCATCAAGCCAGAGCCATCTGTGGAAAGAGGAGTCTCATCAGATCAGATGTTATCATCAAGCCAGAGCCATCTGTGGAAAAAGGAGTCTCATCAGATCAGATGTTATCATCAAGCCAGAGCCATCTGTGTAAAGAGGAGTCTC